AGTGACAAAGTTATATTCGAATTTTGGTTACATTAACGACGAAATATTTTTCCAAAAACAGTGAGTTGGTAAAGTACAGTAAATAGTATTTTGTAGTACTGTCATCGGCCCGATGGTTAGCGTTGGTGAAACTGTTGCCGCGAAAGCTGTTTATAATCCTGACTTGCCCATTAAGTGGAACGCAGAACAAGTCTGGAGAGTTGAACCTGATCGTGCTGATGACCGGCGCCCAAATCCGGATGCAGTACATGTCCGCCCAATCGGTAGATACGAAAACAGGGAATTTTCTGGTCGAGAAGATAGGCGTCACAAGACGGATTCTGACAGACCCCATTCACGACCAGCTGAATCCCGTAGCCGAAGTCCTCCGTTTTCTAGAAGCCACAATAGCGTCCATCCAAAAGATCCCAGCGTAACTACAGACGCATTTCGGTCCATACTAAGCGCCCCTGTTCTTTCGACACAGTTATCAACTGTAAGGGATTTGAGGGCTTCTGATTTGGCAGCGATGTACAAGATGATATCGCCACCAATATATCTTTATCGACTAAAATGTTTGTGGCAGGACTCCTTTTCTATAACTCAGCCTTTCCAATCGACAAAAGATGTTCGATTCCACGTGAGCTTTATTACTATTACACATTTTCACGGGCACATTTTATTTGAGTAGTGGTGGGTGTTATCAAATGTTCCTCATGCATGTTATCCTAATGTTTCTCACATCGAGGCAGTGTTTTACGCTGCCTGGAGCAATTCGTCAATACCAAAATAATATTACGTGCCCACTCATTCCATGTTTCACAATTGCAACGTAGCTAAAACTTCTCTAAGTCATGTTCCTTTACATCTAGCAAGTCAACAAAATGGCCGTCCGTCTCGTAAATGTGGAGGATCACGACTGTCCTCCCGATCCTTCCTACGCTGTTGGGGTTATTTTGCTGGGATGTCCACCTCCTAATGACTTATTTGAACGTTGCGTTGGATCAACTTCAGATACGAAACCTCGGCCTTTCACTAAATGCATCAATATGTTGACAATCTCCCAGGAAGGTCTTCGTGCGGTAGGCAGTGATTGGATTCCTGACCTGGATGGCCCAGATCCTGGAAAAAATCCACAAACATTGATTAATACGGCCATTCGTGCTTGTAAAGACATGATCGGCCTCGACTTGTCGGAATGCACCCGATGGTAATTCCCTTTAAACATATAGGACATCCCTCACTTGAGTGTTTATGGCATTTTAAATGTACTTATTTCCTATTAGTCGGCAGACCCATGCTAACTTGCTACTCGTAGAGGATTATCGTCGGCAATCCTGGAACTCATCTAGTCAAGTCATTATCTTCTGTTGGTGTCCAAATTCTTGTATAATTTTTTGTCAGTATCACGTCTTAATTCCGTTTGCTTATTTCATTATCTTACTTTTTACCTTATAGTTGTTTGAATATTTTTCACATGGTAGCCTTCAGAGTGTTCTCTGGGACCCTGAGACTGCTTCCAAGTGTCACTTCACTCCGTTCCATAATTTTGAGTCTATTGTTTTAAATACTTTCTCGAAGATTGCCATTCCCATGTAATGCTTCACCGAAGACTCATCATCGTCAATTGAGCATTTCGACTTTGCATTGATGGGCTACGAAGGGGTTGGGTTGGTGCCAAACGCTGCATGTGTATCACGTGAAGACGCTCTCTGGTTCTAAATTAAGCTGTCATTGTGTTCACAAACTCCAGCAAATCTGGAAAAACGTCAAATTTTTTAGCATCCTTCAGCATCCTTTTCCATTATTTTGCAGTCATCATTTGAAAACCTCAGAAAGAATTATCTTGGCTTTTCTGTCCTCGACACAGACGTTCATGTTCAACCTGTTTTTTTGTCGTTTCAATTGGCATCTCAACATAACCAAATTTTACCCTCTCAGTGAAGAATCAGGGCAACAAAGACCTTCGAGAAGCCGAGTTTATACTTACCCGACTCGGGATGCATCAAACTCATTTGCTTCACTGCTTGCTGTTTATCAGATTTGGTGCATATTATCGACTGATCTCCATCCCTCTGATTTTTCGTTTTTCCGTGATATCTGTTTCCGCCGTTAGCAATCGTACAAACCTCGAGTGCCTTTACGGAGTATAGCGGTTACAATAACGCAACCAGTTCTTTTTCTCAAGCCCTCATGAGATTATGGATGTTTCTGCAGCCTGTCATTTGGGTCGTCCAGGAAATACGGATCGGAACAAATAGATTCATCTGCATCTCCTCCGAATATTTACTATTGTCTAACCTGCTTGCATTCCCATGCGTGCGTGTACTTTCTCTCCTCCATCCCTTATTACAGGTATCGGTTCCTCGAGTTCCGGTATAGTCGATCAGAGGGACAATCCTGGCCAAGTGTTGACGAGCTGTTTTCCAAGGGCGAGCGCTGGGGCACTGCATGCGAAGAAATTGATCAGTCGCATTTCCAATCCACCTCAGCAACTAGCAAGCACTCCACACAACAAAACGCCGACCCAAAAGGTGATTCAAAAAAGACACAAACTTCTGACGAGGACTCCGACGATCAACCCCCACATCGCGTCGTTGTCTACTTTATGCCCGACATTTGGTCCATTATGCCTAATAAACGCTGTTGGGAGGCTATTAAAGCCAAATACCAAGACCCGAATTCTTATTGTACCCCCAAAGACACTTTCATATCCTCTAAAGTTTCTGAACCGGTCCCCACTGGTAATGTGGAAAGCAAAAATAGTGAAATAGACACGTCAACTAAAAACGAGTTACAAGAAGGCGAAAAGAAATCGATGGATGCATTGGAACCATCACCATTCGAAGACATCGATTCCATCAAAAAGGAAACAGAGGAAGAGGGAGGTGTTGCTGATAATGATGAGGTGCCTCTGATATTTTGCATTGTGGCTTTGTTTGATTGGTATTGTGTGGCTGCATACGCTATGACGCGTTATTTAGTCACAGTGTATTCGTGTCTTTCCTCTTTCACATTTCTTCAAATTTTTTTTCAGAAATTTGGCGAATGGACGGAATTAGAGGATCCTCGTAAATTACATCATAGCAAAGTCGATATCAACTCATTAAAGGTGAGCTCTAGCCTTCCATCTTTATTCTATGTGGCTAAAGGTTTATTGGCACCTTCTGAAGGCTTGAGCCATCAGGCTGACTTTAGTAGTATATCGACTCCCACATAGTTTAGTGTGTGATTAAGTAACGATTTGCTTTCCGGATCGCCAATGCGAGTTTCTTTAGACTATGGGCCTGGAGCGATTGCTTCAAACTTCACTATCGCCGGTGTCACTGTATGGACGACGTCTGCATAGCTGAATTCACCGATGTGACTTGCTATTTCTCTCTTCCAATTTAGTTTTTTTCAGACTAAACTTATTTGGAACTAATCATTACAATAGCTGCTCGTTTCCAGAGGTTATTCGTATTTGTCTTGGTGGCCTATTTTGGCTTTTAGGTATCTGAGTTACGTGAACAGCTTTCGGCCCGTAGACTCGATGCATCTGGTCTGAAAAATCAGCTTTTTAATCGGCTCAAGGCTGCCCTACAAGAAGAGAAGGAAGATGAGGAAAGAAGTGAGCAACTTTTATTGTTATGGGGTTTAGGAAAGCATCGTACCATCGCACACAGGCTAAAAATGGGTCAGCCATTGTTATTTTGAGGCAAAGTTCCATCAGCGTTCATTGCTTAAAGCATACATATTCATTCACTGTGTTGAATTAAAGGAATCCAAAATTGTAGGTCCTCTTATATGTAGCGCGAATTGATTTGCACCAATTGTAGGGGCTGGGAATGAATATAGTTATTCTGGTCACTTCAGTTTCCAGTTACTAGATTTCAATTGTCTAGAAAATACGAGTAGTTTCTTGGAAGTTTGGTGGGGCAAGTAGGAATTCGGTGTCATATTCAATCTATCTGCGAATACTTTCTAGCCATCTTGAGGCCCGGTGATGCGGGACTTTTTCGAGTTCCATCATTGGGTTATTTTGTTCATGTAAATTGACCTTGTAGTCCAGTTTTTTTACATAATAAGACCCATTAGAACTTAACAAAACAACGGCATCAGAAGATCCTCCATTTTGACATTCTACATGTATTTTTGAAATTCCATCGTGCTGCAATCTGTGCTTCCAACAAACCAATGTGGACAATCTTTCGTTCTGCAGTAGTTGTAGGTAGAAAATCATAGTTTGCCTTGTGCGGCTTTCAGGTTCAAGAACAGGCTTCTTGTGCTTCACAAAATCAATGGAAACTCTTTTCTGTCCTGTTTAATAACTCTTTACAGTCAATAATTTGTCTTTCAGAAGCGGAAGAAGAAAGAGCCGCGGCAGCTGCAGAAGCCGAAGCAGCAGCAGCGGCAGCAGCAGAAATGGCTGCCAAAGAGGCCACTCTGATTGCCGTTGGGAAACCAGAAGATGCCGATGTCGGCGGCGCTGCTTCAAACGAGAAGCCTGAAATCAAGTTACCAGTCCTGCCCGAACAGCCTTCTCTAATAGTTCAACTTAAACAGAACTCCTCCTTCTCTCTCGTTGTCTGCAGTCTGGAGGTATGTTATTACCACATTTTAACCAGCAGACTTAACGCTCTCAGTTTTGCCACAGCTTTAAAATAAATTTGTTAACTTCCCCAGTAACAGTACCTGTCTGGCTTTTTCCTCCCCCCTCAGACAATCATCACATTGTCAAAGGGTCACTTCAAGCCTTGCAGCCAAGTTTATGAGCTTTTCGTCTGCGCGAACCACATTTTGCATATGTTCCACCGTGATGCCGCCTTCACACTCTACAAAGCCCTTGTGGTTTTGTCGGACCGTAAACAATTACGATCTGCACAGAATGCCTCAAAGCCCACTTCTTCCAAGTGAGTCCGCCCTTTATGTTGCCCTTGATTTACTACGTATGCCTCGGATTTTCGAGCATACCGTTGGATTATGCTGCTTCGTTAACCACAGGCCTCAGTTATGCTCTAAGCTATCTCCTGTCAATACCGCGTCTGATTTATTTTTGAATACATCCTCCCGTGCAGAAAAAGGCGCTGCATCCCATGATGGGTGTGTATAATATCAAGTGAGTGTGTATGTGAAGTAGTCCCAGAATCTGGTGCAAGATGATTGCGTATGATTTCGCTTTCGTTATGACCAATGCAAAAGCCCCCCTCCATTTTAAGGTTAATTACACTTGTGGACCGTGCCTTTAGGGGCTAACCAATTATATCTTTAATTGCATTGAGGATTGAATCGGAACAACGTCCGGCAAAGAAGTCGCGATTATCTAGTTGTGAAAGGACCTCAGAATCCTCACAAACCACACACAAGGCTTCGTTTGGCAGCAATGGAGCAAGCAGATCCCATGAAAGCCAACCCAAAACAAAAGTGGTTGATTTCCCTCTCCTTTTCGCCTGCAAACTATTGGACGTCTCTTCGCGAGGATATTTTAGCCTTTTCAAGCTCGAAACAATCATTTCATCTATTAACCTCCCTATATCGCGTTATCAGGTTTGTTCTTCTTTAAATTCTAAAATCTATCTTTTATAAAGTAGATTTTCATTTTGCCAAGTGAACTATTGGTATAGGCATTGTGGTGGATATGTTTTAAACTCGAGAAAAAGCTCAAAGGTCGGTGCTGCTACGATTTGTGACCGGAGATGTACTGACTTCTTGCTAACAAGGTTCGATGGTGATCCTGTTAATTTAACATTTCACGTTAGCACTTTCACACAATACGAACAAACCGATTTATTAGGGCTGTTGTGCGCCAAATTTTTACCACAGCGCTTATTAAATGTTAATCTATCGAAAATGGATTTTGAGGGACGCACCTTTTCCATGCCAACTGCTTAATTGAAAATTTAATTAGATTAGAAAGGTCGTATGAAACGGAACACGGGAGCTACCCTAACCTACGAGTCTTGTTTGCAGATTCGAGCTCTGTGTGCCAATGTGATAAATGAAAATAGGCGCCTTTACTATCGTGGTCTGACCGACGTGCCCGATGTTTCGTCTGCCGGCGTATCCATCAACACTATCGCTAAATCCGACGCGAAAGACAGCGGTGGTAGGACTTCGGCCTCGACAAGTCGTGCTTCGACGAAGCGTCCCTTCGAGCCAACGCACGACCAGCTTTTTACAGACTTAAATGGAGCACCTCTTTCAAATATTGATGATGAAGAGTACCTGCAGGAGTTAGTCAGGGGCGGCGACGCCATTCTGGAAGATGGGGACGAGGATGAAGATTATCATCGAAATGTTTCGGCTGGGTAAGCTTGTTTTCCCACAATGATCTCTTCTCATCTTTTTTTGCTTTTGTAATAGTGATTTTGGTCGCTTGTGTGTAAAAGTGTAAAATCGCCTTTTTGATGCCATTTTGGGTCTGGCTGTGTTTATGACAGTTTGCTTCCTTGTATTTGACAACGCGCTTCCTGTTTTCCACGTAATGACTACTCATGAGTTTATATGTTCTCCAAATCCCACTTTAATTTTTATCCCCTAAGTTACTACTTGTCTCACAACGGCTTTCATGACTGTGCTCAGTGATTTTAGATTCAAAGTAGTGTCTTTTCCTTTTCTGTGCTGACAAGGGTTGCAACGTGACCAGTTTTCTATTGTCACTTTCATTTTTGTTCATGCAGCAATTAGTGACCACTCTTATTGTGGTTTATGATGTAGGGGCAATGATGGCCATCAGGAATGCCTGGTTTTCTGAAATTGTGAAATCTTTTTTCAGCGTCATAGTCTACGGTGGTACCACAGTGCTGCCATCAGAGTCGGCAGGAGCACATGTTGCGGCCAGTGAAACCTTCCTTAAGCAATTAAGGCGCGTGGAAACCCAGGTGCTTCGCCTTCAACAAACTGTGAAAACACAAAATGCAACTCTTGGTATGAATTGCAAATTTTATAAAATTGTCGCTTTTCGGGACGCTGGGTTTTTGCTGACCTTTCGCATTCCCCGTGCTCTTGACAGTGTCCGGTGTGTGCACTAAGGTTTTGAGCAAAATCGACCAAATTTTTACAAACAACCTTCGTTGATTGTATATGCGCGTTAACTAGAAGCACCGTTTTAACCACCACAACCAAGGTGCAATATTTTGACCTTTTTGTCGCTCACCAATTAGTACCTCGGCCATATCCTGATGATTTGTCCCTTTCTATTATAGTCGTCGATCTTGCTCTTGGTGTTCGGCTCTCCTAGATTTTTCACTTTTTTGTGTTATAACCTTTTTTTCGGTTATTCACTCCATAGAATATTTGAAATTATTCCAATTTCTGGTGCATTTTTCTAGTGAAGAAATCAGGACTTAGTGTGCTAGGTACTAATACATGAAGCCGCTAATTTTACGTTCTGTTACCTGGTTTTACTTAAATTTGGCTTACTTCGTTGACACATAACCTGTCTCTTTGACTCAGCTGCTCTTCGACAGGAAAACAGCGCAATTCCACGTTTGCAACAAAAGTTAAAGAGGGCAAACGCCACCGCCGATTACTACCACAATCGATGTCGCGACCGCCGTTCTACTCTCTCCTCCACCTTGCAGCAACTTGAGGCTCAGGCTTGCATCCTTGAGTCGACTTCAAACACCCTACGATCCGTTGCAAGACGCGTCAAACGCGACCTTAGTGTGGGCGAATCATCCAAGTCGTCTCCTTCCTCGCTCGCCTCTCGACGTACGTCCTCGCGGACGCCATCCGTTGCCCCGCAATCGACCACTAATTCTTATCGTCCAAAGCGTGATCCGCCCCCTAGACCAGAAGGTCTAACCGGCAGCAAAGCTGATTTGAAAACGCCGGATGATGTGCTTGACGCCTCCACTTTCATTGTTAGTATTCGCTCAAACCCTCGGTTTGCTTTTGTCCCATGGTTAATGGAAAAGCTATCGAGCTTAGATTTGAAGTCGGGTTACATTGTAGTGTAGTTGAAAATAAGGTGGTTTTGGGTGGTTTGCGATATAATAAAGCAGTGTTTCATTTTCCGATTAATCGCGTAAGATGGCGTCGTGTGTTGGTTCTCCATTATTGTATTAAATCATCCCTTGAGCATTAATACGGTAGGTTTCCCTGTACAAGTTGCGCTAATTTTGGCTAAACTCGTATTGTCGTCATCCTTGTAAATCAAGACTTTAAAGGTATATGCGTGAATGTATTAAGAAGTTGGCATTCCTATGTAACACGTGTCTTACAAATTAACGGCTTATTATCAAAATTGACTTTTTGTGTAATAATGATATGGTTGGTGTCTGCCAATGAATTTATGGATGGTTTTTTAGCCGCCCGAAAGTACCATTGAACTGGAGGAGGCATCTACGAAGGTGGAAGCTGGGCAACCCGGTGGATTGGAAGAAATGGCCCATTCATCGACAGAAGAAAGTGGCGTAGGGCCAACACTCAACAATGAGTTTGACGTCAATTCCGAAGGCAGTCTGGAGAGCGCACCCGAGTAGAGCATTTAAGTGGTAAGGTTTTTGAATTAGCAACCTACAGCCTAACTACTTTTAATCAATCTTGCTCCACTTTCAGTCCCTCGAAATAATTGGGTTTCCCTTATCTCATTATAGGACTACAATCTTGATGAAGGCATTTCCTGTTCCTCATGTTGGACTCCCTCTGTAGACTGTTAAAAGGTCTGTTCATCACTTCTTTATGAATATGTAAAATCGTTGCATCTTGTTTGTCTTCTAAAAACAGCCGTAGTCATGGCCTGTGTTGTGGTCTTTCCCATTGTGCGCGTTTACTTAATGGTACAAAAGCTTACTTGTGGTTGCGTAATGCAGCCCCTGCCTCCTGGGTTCGAAGTCACAAAAATCCCGGACTCGTGTACTTTATTTCGGTACACTCTGTCCAACGGCTATCTCTACCTGGTCACCGGTTCTCGCGTTATTTCTTGTTGTTATTTAGCAAATATTTTATGCATGACATTCTGTTTTGTCATTTTCTGCACGTCGAATCGTCCCCTGAATGATGCGCGCTTTATCCACATAATCCAAGTAGGATTAGTAGTAGAGTAAAATTGAAGCAAATTCATGTGTGCATAAAGCTCTTCATGTCTGTTGAGCTAATTTTCACGTAGTTTTCTCATACCAGGCGCCATTGACCCGCTCAACCTGGATAGCGATTGAAGTAGTTTTGTCTGTTGTGCGGACACTGATCATTGTCGCCAGCGCACGAAATTGCAGCCAGGACGGAAGATTGACCTAGGAAGCAGATACGTGTAGTTTATTAAACATGGCTGCAATTGAGGAAACGGGGTTAGGGGGAGTGGGGTTTTCGTTAGCAATCGAAGGAAGTCAGAGGTGACCGCGCGCGTAGTAGTGTGCTCGCTGATTATCTCTTTCCCCTATAGGCGTCTGCCTTAGTGCTGACTGAGGAATGATGGTGGCATCACCATGGTCCCGATCGCGCGTTTGGCAGAGATTTTCGTTGTACTCAAGGGAAACGAACGTGTACGGTCTGGGTTTTAGGTGATTAAAGTGCGATATCTGAAAGTATCACCGGGGACTGGGTACGGTAGGTAAGATTTGGAATGCACCGAGTAGCTTTGAACTGTGGTGGTCCCCGGTGCGGTTTTAGAAACCACACCAGGGCCGACAATCTACGTTGACACGGCCCGACCAAAAGTAGAGCAGAACTGCCGATAACCAGTAGCTCAACCAATTTAATAAGGCAGTAGCGGAGTGTGTTGTTGTGTACAGGCTAGCAGATGCGTTTATCTAGCTTCGCTAAGCATTGACCTCTGAACGCAGCTAGTTGCGTGGAGTTCATTGACGAATAATCGAATGAACTGCGTTTGCTTGTGCTTGCACACGGCGTTCGCTCACGATTGATAACTGTGTTCGCCAGAGAACGAACCAATGAAACCTGAAAAGAGTGGTGTGGGGTATGCATGCTTTCGAAATCGGGTGGTATCTTCTGGTTTTTTAAGTGTTCCACTTTTTTAATATTCGTGGGGCCGTCTTTGACGTTCGCAGTTGCACCCTACGTGTTAATGGGTAGGTGTCTGCGTCTTGTCATGGATGTTCATTAATTGGGACAAGAACTGGTACCCAAGCTTTCCTATTTGCATCAAATTATTCGTATTTCTCAAGCATCAATAGAGTTTAGATGCAGCCCAAGGTTTGGTACTCCGAGCAACAGTGAGATAATTCGGAACGGTGTTGTCTTGAGGTCTAGAGAAAACGCTTTTGAAAGGAGTGATTTGTTGGTTCTTTCCATTTTTTTGTCATTACCCAGGGATGATAGTGTGGTACGGGAATCTACGAATTTATTTGATAAGAGTAATCCATTGTGGCGAGCAGCAAGCGAACACAGCAATCGTAAGCGAGCGTGGTTTAATTGATTCACGTGAGTGCACTTAACGTAACTATGTTCGTTTAGAAATCAATGTGTAGTTAAGATATGTAAACTGATTTGTTGAATTGTACACGCACACACCGATGCCGCATCAATAAATAAGTTGAGCTTCGCGCCATCTGCATTTCTACTCTTCTTTCCGTCGGGCCGTGTCAGTGTAGATCGCCGGCCCTGGTGTGGTTTTTTAACCCCACCGGGAGCTGCAATACCACAATTGTAGGCCTTAATCTCTGTGACCGAACTGTGGCACCCCTTACGGAACATAAGATATGGCGTGTGTAATGATGTACTCGACAGCTAAACTTGGACCTGAGTTGATCGTGAGTTGATCTCTACGTTTTTGTTCTGGATGGATTTAATGGTTGCGCTGTTATTTGAGAAGAGTGCATGAAACCAAATGAAAAACAAGGAAGAAAATAATCGATTTAGTGTAAAATGAGGAACAAGGTTTTTCTTTAAGAAACGCTTACTTCAAAATAACGATAGTGTGTTCTCCCATTCGCCTAGGCAGAAAATAGATTAGCTGTGCATTCTTCGACTGTACATAATTTCCGTGTCAGAGTCATCCAATTAAAAGTAGCGTGGTGGTTAATAACGTTTCCAACAGGGTTAGTCGTATTGAGGAAGTCTAAGGACGGCGTCTGCAATTGCACGATGTTCCTCTTATCGGCATTCAAGCTAAACATGAAAAACTGCCAACATTGGTCAAATTACTAGTTGACCTCCAAGTTCTTAGGACTTTTTTAAACGGTTGAGGACCTTGTGGTTGAAACCCCAGAAATTTCTTCGTTTGCCGATGGAAGTGTCATATAAGTATGTTAAGGCATGGTATAGCACAAAGTACCCAAGGAAGAAATAATACAGCAGAGAGAGGTTCAATAGTTTATTAGAACGCTCAACGGAACGGAAATCGCTAAGTTTAGAATAGTAAAATGAATGCCGACTTATTGTGTCGCCTAATATCCATAAGTAGTAATCAGTAATTACTGTACAAGCTAACTGTTTTGGAGTCCTGTTTTACGTGTTTTCTTGTGCATTGGGCGAAGTAAGGTTATGAATCATGACCAGGGTTTAAACTTGGCGAAGGTCAATTGCAGGTAATTCATATTTAAAGGCAACATTAGTTCGACTGATGACACGATTAATCCCCTTAAATAATTGCATTTAAACTTTTCTAGGGACATTCGCGTTGCTAAAGAAGTGGTGAGGTTGAACTGCCATGGGAGATTACTAATATAATCTACGTGAATGACTTTAGGAACATGGATGCGTAAAGGATTTTTACATGGCTTGTCACACTGCCAACAAGAGGGCTGCGTAGCCAAGGTGGTGCTAAGTCTAGTTATTTCATTACATCTGGTTTCAGGGGGGACGAGGAAAAATGGGTGACCTTAAAATCATTGAATTTGACTAAAATCATGCTTGATTTAATTATGTGGGATCCCCAGTTGTTGGCTACCATGGCGCGAGATATTTGAATCCGTGTAAGTCAATATTCACTAGGTCCAGTGTAAATGGGAAATAAGGAAATCGAAAATGTTCGATTATCAAAGAAAATTTGATTGCTATTAACAGAAAGGAAATGACTTAGTGGAAATTTATCATGTTGCACATTGTTCCATCAATGATTTGCGGCACCAGATTTTCTCCTCGTGAGAGAGTGCATAATGTATCAGTCAGAAGACGGTCTAGTCTTCCTAATTCACACAAACAATTTGTTGCAAATCAGGCTACAGATGAGATAAAAATCCATTTGTATTTTTTATATGACGATAGCTGAAGTTACGAAGACAGGGGTTGCGATTACAATCGTGGTCCTTTGAAGACACATAATAACTAAATTATAATAATGGTCTATTGATCAGTTCAACAAGATCGACATGCGGCATGGGGCGTGAAACGAAGTTAAAGGGTTCGTGTTGTACGTGATTCAGGTAACTAACATAAGATAAATCGAAAACTCGATCTAACACATTTTGTTTTTCAAGCGCATTTAGAACCAAGCTTGAACGTCGTCGCTTTTTAGTGCTGAACTTGATCATTCTTGGCTTATAAGTGAATTTTGGACTGTTTAAGGCGGTAATAACCCGGACTGTTTGGACTAGATTGTAATTTTTAAGAAATAAAACTTAACCCTTAGTAATCGCCATAAGTGAACAAAGCATAGTAACATAATTAACCAAAGGGTGCAAAAGGCATCTTTGCGGTTATTAGGCTGAAAGTATTAGCTATATATATGTATATCTATGAAAGAGTCATATAAACAGCCATTAAGTTTAAATTGTGAAAAAAATGCAATTTGCTTATCCTTTTTAAAATTTCGTTTTCAAATATGTGCTTAACACTTTATTTTTAAGAACTCTATACTTACATTTCTATTAATGTTAGAATGGTCTCCACTTGTTAGTGGAATATACGAATTATTTAGGTAGCCAATTGCACTGTGGCAGGTTTTGAAGTTGCAGGTGACAGTGTCGGTGGGGGTTCATTTGTAGAAAAAAAAACAAATTAACCTGATAAACATGTGGTCAAGCAAATTACGTGAATTTGAAAGGACCTCGGTTCCTACAGCTCCGGAAGTAGTCGATGATGCATCCGTTCACGGAGATCCGCCAAAGTACTTTGGAGATTTTCCTAGTCAACCTATTGATTTTTGTGAGTTGAGTAGTTAAAATATTTTCTTATACAGCCGTAAAAGAGATGGTTGGCTACGGAATCGCTCTATCGAGGTACTTTTTGGTTAGCGTTTTACTCTTCGCGTTTAGTATGGTGACGGAAATTCTTCTGTCACACCCATTTCTGGTGCTTAGACACCAATGTCAGGTAAGGCTGCAAATAAGGTTTAACTGTATGATGCAGGTACGGAGCAGAAGCAAGTTGCTTCATATTCAGCCATTTTCCCTTATACCGATCGTGCAGGCTTATGTTTCTCGGCAAGTATGTATTTATTTTACACCACAAATGTTTAGGGAATCTTTACCCTGTGGAAAGGTTTGAGTGGGATACTGACTCTTAAAGCAGTTGGGATGGTGGCTGAAAACTTGATTGCTGAGGTTTTACCTCTTCCAAAGTATGTTTTCATAGCGTCTCTTCACCTTAGTAGAGAAATTACGTCTTACAGCAGTCCTGCAAAAATCTCACTTCACCTGCTGCTTAAAACGTAGGAATATCACTGTATTAATGACCTTTCAGAATATCTTGGGCTATTTGCACCCCGTTTTACGCTGCAAGTATGGTTGAGTTCGTGCAGGTTAGTCAGGAATATGTTAGCTTTTTATACGCTTTGTAATATCAGTGTAAAATAGTTAGCGTTTAGCCAACTGATCTTCATTAATCTGAAGCTAAACAAATTAAACCAACAATATTATGTTCTTAACCCATCTCAGCTGATTACTGCAGATAACTATGTGTGAAATATTTTTCAATGTTTATTAAAAAAATTACTTGAATTCTAATTAGTGAATACATTTATGGTTTCATTGGCTGTAAAAACAAGACTTTAGTTCGTTATCGGAAGATTTGTTTCCCAGTTTAAAGCATCCCTCACGTTGTGTAATTGCCAATTTATTTTATGTTAGGCTTGTTAGCTTCCCACAATGAGTTTTTCTTCCTCCTCTGTTTTGAATACTCTAGAGGATTTAGGTGGTGGCGGAAGTGTGAAACCGACCCTTGATTTTCTTATTCAATAAAGATTACGATTTTTTTCATTCTTAAAGTTGCCACTCTCATCTTCTAGTCAGATATTGCATCCGAACCGACTACCCTGACATCCTGCTTACTGGAGGGTTTTAGGCGCTTGATTCCCAATACATACACATCCGGACCTCGAATGGGCTCACTGACAGGCAATTTTAAAGCTGAGCTTCGTTCAATTCCCATTCGCACTTCGAGACTTCTGCCAGTATGGCGACTACTTCCTTCAGTCGTTGTGCTTGGTGTGGGTCAGCATATCATTCGAAGCGTCGTGTGCTTTGGAGTTGCTTCGTACCTCAAGCGAGACGAGGAGTCTGAGCAGTTGGATGCCGAGGCAACTGACTCGCGATCTAGAGTGGTAACTGCTAAAATGGTTTCTAGTCCCTCGTGCATTAGATTATAATCTTGACTCTTTTACGGTATAAATCAAGCTAGTATAGCTGTGCATTACGGGACTAAATTAGTGCACCAATAACCATTAGGCTATTCACAAGGGCAAATTGCAAGGGAATACTTTGCTCCTTCCAAATAAATCCTTTACTGTAACTAGAAAATTGGAATAATGCTCTCCTGGTCATTTTTATTTCAATGACATTTATGAACTTTTAACTATAGTTTGTCTCTTCTGGAAGTTGACGCAATCTTGACGATGCGCCTAAATCCCTCCAATCTGAATTGACACTGCAATTTTTGGCCAAATAGATCTGACAGAGTTAAAAAACCCGAGGTCGTAAATGATCTATGCAGTGGCCCACCGCCTATACATTTGTAGCACGCCTTTCCACGATACCATGTTCGTCGGTCGCTATTTCGCTTGGATGTGGGGCGTGGTGGTTCGACCTGTTTGTCTGGTGTTTCCTCAAGTTTTTTTCGCCTGTTTTGATCAATTTCAAAATGGGGCATTTTCTCGTGTCCGAGGATAAAGCTGCCGATGGAGGGAGGCCCCTGCAGCGTCACGCTCGAATTTCGATGTGGCCGAAAAACCGTACGGAAGCACATGCATTCAAGCATGTGCAGCTAATTTAAAACGGCATTTCCTGACACCTCTTGTCATGTCAGCAATCGTGCGTGTCGTACAACTTGAACCATGCCCAACAAAAGACTCGACTTTGTCGTCGTCAACAAATGACAGCCCGCCCGATAGCTCACCAGATTGAAATATTGCATTATCCGAACGAATTTTAGTGCACACACACGCACACCAGTTCACAACATCGTTTCCACTTTCCGTGAATGTCTGCAGTAGCTCGTGGCATACTTTTAACTTGTAGTTATTAAGAGAACTCACTCACCAAATATTTTGCTGGTTTGGTAATGAGTGTCTGCGTGTGTGTGTGTGTGTGTATATGCGTTTGTATAGTGTTGCGGCACAATAATGTGTTTTGACAGAAGGCAGCTTCAAACACGCAGAAAACGTAGTTTTCAAACAAAAGCGCAATGTCACCTCATCTGTCTATGCATCTGCGAAGTGCAGTTTTTCACTTAAAGCAGCTCGATTACTACAGTCAACTTGCAGCTACGTCGATGTTCGTTTGTAGCTATTCCTTAACCTTTAGCCCGACGAAGAAACATGCAAGACCTTGCGATTTCCGCTCGCATTGATGACGCGGTTAGACTCTGCACCCTAAGTGTTTGTGGTCTACGAGCAATCAGTTCACTGGATGTCTTATCAACGATTCGTCAAGGTGCTTCACATGAGTTAATTTAGTATGGCAAACAAATTATCCCCTTAGAACCTTTCGGAAACAAGTCGGTTGACGGATAACACACCTTGCCAACCTCGACTTGAAGTTCCGTATTTCGGTATTTTACTTACAGTTGCTCAGTAGAAATGCTTTTGTTTGACGGTTTCCACAACTGTGGGTTCAAAAATCACCCGTTTGTAATTTTATCGATAACAGCGTGTTTAGGATAACTGTATCACTTTTTGATGAACCATGCCTCCTAGGTTGGTGGTGACGGTTGATGTTCGACTGCTGCACCCTCTGCCACACCGTTGAAGTCAGATGTGTCGCATTCTAGACGTCTAGACTATCGCTACCCAGGTCCACTAAAGGAACTAACTCGGTTTATTTCCCTAAACTCGAATCCCATTAAGAAAACTTGCTCAATTCCTCAACACTTCAGTACCTCACGTGGCTCAAGTACCCTTCACATGGAGACTACTTGTCGTTGCCGTATCATTATCATTATCATCGTTACCACTGTTAATGCTAGCGCAAGGAAATCTAGTGGGCACTTGAACATAATTGGGCAATGACTACACGACTCTCGCTGTAACTGCAGCATAAATTAATTGCTGTTTAGCTGTGAGAGCCTCGGGCCTCCTTCGTATTGCCATCTGAATGACGAGTAATGGTGTGCTGTCGTAGTAGGATTGAAACCGATCATTTAACGCGTGCCTTGAGTTGCATTAGTCGGACGGAACTGGCACTAACCAAAGCGGTCATTGGGCGAATCAGTGCGAGCATCATGTCAATGGCTCGCAGTTTACAAGTGTCCGTCTCATCTACACGCCTAACAAACATCGCGTGTGTTAGCAATGCATTGCAGTTGTGATTGAGGTAGATGAGTTTTCTCTTGTACTGATTTTACTTTGGCTCGACTATGCTTTAGCACATCGATAAAACCATGCTGTCTTCCCTAATACATCGAGCAGTTATTCAGCTGTGTTGATGATTCTTGTAATGCATGTGTTGTGAATTTCCATCTAACTGTGAAACTGAACAATTGACTGAGGTGGCGAGTGGCGTTGAAGTGGGAACACGCGTGTGTGTTGCTCGTGTGTCAGGAGTTGGTTTGGTTTGGTTAATGCACAACATTTTGGTCGATGTTGTGTGTCGTGTAGTGGCTCCAGGATGGGATCGGTAAGTGCACGTTTGGATGCTCTGTGTCCACAATCAGTGTCCGGAGCCAACCATGCCCAAATGACCACGAATGAAGACTTGGAATACCTCTGGCTTAGTCGAATGCAATGTGGGTGGTGTCAATTTAAGTAGGTAGGTTCTTCAATGAGAAGACACTTGTGTTTGTGTTAAAAGTAGTAGTAGTGCTTTGGAAGTGAGCATGGTGTCAGCAGCGTGATCCGCGTGCCTGTGGAGGCTAATCTTAACTCTCCAATGGTGGGAGAAGCCCTCGCACGTGATACATGGGAATCTGCAAGTACGTCGTGAGGCTGTGGCCTGGCTCCCGGTTCTAGTGTAGAGTTTGTGGTAGTTGCAGTGCCTACTCATGCAGATGTTGGTCAATCCGTGCGTATTTCCTTCGACATCCTTTTTTTGTTTTTTTACTCTTCCAAGTAGCTTTTTTTGGGCACAGTCGACACATCGGCGCTGGTTTTTGTCTGCTAATGTAATCTGTCTTCCCTGTTTGAATAAAGTGCACAGCTTCTTTTTGCGTTTCGTAAAGCCTTCTCAAGTGTCGTTGATACTTGCATCCTCACATGAATGTCCGCACTCGCCTATGAAATGCAAATACGTTCCGCTCCTCTTATCATATTTTCTTACACCATCATCTTCCTTTCAAGTGTCCTCTCCTAACATCATGAATTCTGCTTGCCAAGAAGAGTCCAGGTTCGCGTCCATCTTCCCATCCATTACTTCCTGTAAATGCATAGATCATATCCGCGACTGAATTTATAGACCAAGAGACAAGCACTTGACCGGCTCAACAAGGTTTCAGTTAACCATATCACATGCAAGATTACGATTCGACAATTTTACTAGTAGCGCTTAATAGCTAATGCCTTCCAGGGTCGAATATACTCAAGCACGTGAAATATTATGGTTTAGTTAACCAGCGTATGGCTTTGTGCCGCTTCCGTGCTGTGAGGCTAAAATAGCTGCGATCATTGCACAAAGTTGATTGAATTTCAAGTCAGAACATCATGCGTTTATGTTTAAATGGGCGTACTTTTAGGTTGCTTGCCAAAAGCCTGTCTACCTATGCATTGTAAAGTAAGATGAATACTACATTGTCGCTCTGTCCCCAATGATTGTTACATCAAACAAAGAGTCGGTCTGCTGGCCTTTGTGTCATAATGGTGACTTTGATGTCAAATTACTGAAATTCAGTGCAACTTACTCTCCACCAGAGAATGACAAGAGATTTGTTTGAACATGCCTGCACATTTAACTTTTGTTTTCCACTTTTTGAAGTCCCATTTGATTAAACGTCGCGCAGTCAGTTGAAGCCTAGATTCTTTCAATTTTCGCAGCAACAAATTTAACATTTTTAAAAATTTGAAATGTTTTAAGTATAAGTGGTTAGCGTTGGTTTCACAGGAAGCACCGGCAAGAAGAGTAAAAATGTGACCAAACATAAAGTACGAACTGTGTAAAGTGAGGGAATCGTCCGCAATAATAGTAGTAAGGTAGAGTTCTTCCACGATGAAAATGCCGTGGCGGCTTTTAGGCAGCCAAGGAGAGCGAAATGTGTGGCTGTGGTTGAACCCAAAACTCAGCGTGGAAACTCGAGTGCGGTATGGTGTCATCCTCATTATGCCTTTTCCTTCCCCTTGTAGAACACCTTCCATCTGAAAATGTGCTATGTTTTAGTTTCAATTTTACAATGGTTAAAACAATGCTGGTGCTTTAAATAAAGCAAGGGAAAATAGGTCACTGGGAGAGTAAATGATTGATGCCAGTCTGTACTACAGAGGCGCCAACCATTATACTAAGACTAGCTCGCATTACGGAGAAATGGTTATGTCACCCACTATGTTAATGTCACTTATGTTAACCTGCTTGTGTTTTTAGACAAAGGCTCTTCAATGAGCGAAAATGTTATTCGGCTTTATGAAATTACAGGATGCGCTCCACTTCTGGACCTTTTTCATTCCAATAAGACTTCATTATGTAAATGAGCATTTGGAACTTTTTTGTTTACCAAGGCGTCAA